ACCAAACACAATGAGATCTATTGGGTGGGAATCGAAATAATTTTAAATTCCGCTGTGCATGTATAAGTAGATTCCCAACAGATACAGCTATAGAAATTCTATTACTAATTAGCGAAGGATCTAAACAATGAGAATAAATCAATTTCTTTAGGTGTAGTACCTTGTAGACCCATTAATGGAAGATTTAAACATGTCACTCTTCGGTGCCTTCTGCTGCAAGTGATACCAATCCAATTACAAAAAGGGGTTCCTTGTGACCAGTTCTCTGCCAATAGTATCTCATCAGAGTTTACAGTTTTCTTTGCAATAGTATCTCCTAGAGAATGACCCTTTTGTTGTACTTCATCTGTCAATTAAAACCCATCTGTTACAAATGAAGAGGTATCTTGTTACCAATTCTGGAACAAGTTTTTTGTTACTGGTCAAACTCTTAAAAGATGCAACTATGGCTACGAGCACGGAAAGAATTTGTAATTATTTATAGATGTAATTCTTTCAATTGGTTGATTGAATAAACATAACTTATGCATTGATCTTGATAAATGTGTTCGTATGCATATACATGAAATAGAAGTCTATGTTCATTGTATGCTTTTACCATGAGGAGTAGTGGCAATCCAAAAATTGACTTGAACTTATTGAATGGTGATAAAATTTATAATTTTCCTTCTATCTGATTTCGAATTATAGCTTCTTATTCTTTTGTAAGAATTTGCTTTTGGAAATTACTCGGTGTAGGGAAGTTTCTTTCTTTCTGAAAAATATGAAAAACTCACTATCAAATTCTCTGTGTTGCTAAAGTTAAAGCCACCGAACGCCACATTTGGACCTCATTGCAGTCTCATTCCCAACCCTTTTTTGTGACTAATGGATCTTCGAACATCTATTGTTTACTGACAACAATCCTCCTAGGCAGTTTTCATTAGGAAAAGGTAGGTATATTGCAACCACAATTTTTTTCCACCAGATTATAAATGCACAATTATTAAAATATGTTTTCTATAGATATACCATAGCAATTATACAAATATAACCTTACCTAATTAAAAAAAATGGATAATTATTTCGCATCACACTTTTTATCATTTACACCACTTTAGTTGCACTTAAAGCCCTCAATGTTTTGTTCATCTTAAACTTACATTCTTAACCTTTTTCAACACTTTCTTATTCTCAAACGTTCAATAATTAGTAAATTTTGTCTCTGTTTGCAAGCCAAAGGGAAAAAAAAAAATTTATTTTACTCTCTGTTTGCAATAGTTTGACTATTGTACAAACAGTGTTGATCATTACAATCTAACCCCTGTTTGGTGTGGATTAAAATCAGATTTTTGGTAAATTTTGGTAGAAATTGAAAAAATATGTGGTTTTAAATTTGTGGGACCCATAAAAGTGTGTGAATGAAATAAGTTGTTGTATTTGACTTAAATTAAAATCTAACTTTTAATTGATACCAAAAATGGGCATAATAAAATTAAACAGATTGAAAGAAGTCAAAATAAAAACAAAACAACGTTTTCAACTCTCCATTTAGGTTGTGTTGGTAAAGTTATGTATTAAGATAAATTATACGATATGTACTACAAGTACAACAATAGAAGTCAAAGCAACCTTTGATCTTTTATCAAATATTCTGCATTTGCAACATCCAAAAGGTTTTTAGAGTAGATAAGTTGGTGTACAATTACAATCAATACAAAGTATGGACTCAGAGATACCTATATAGTGAATATTAAGAATAAAGAACTTCAAGCATTCAATAAAATAAAATAAAGAACAATTTATGATTTCATCAGTGATACAAAACAAACCTCTTTGTCTCATTCTTCCTCAGTAATGTTAGAAAGAAATTCCATTTTGATCTTCTTAAGCCTTATTAGTACATTTTCCATATTGAGCCGCTCCTCAGGCAAATCACATGTGCATTCCAGTGCCAGTCCCATAATTGATCTGAAGCAACTTTCTTTAGCTTCAATGTTCTCTTCAACTCCATCCACTAGATCCACATCCATTGCCTGAATGACTTTATCAGGCTATAAATCAAACAACCATCCCCTCATATTTAAATCTCCAACAAAAATATCATCTGTGGGCTTGTTTTTGGTAAATGTTTCCATCAAGATAATTCCATAGCTATAAACATCTGCCATAGTTGATAATATTCCTGTTGATCCATACTCTAGTGGAATTGGAATGTGAGATCAAAAAATGACCAGTCAGATGTAAATGATAAATAAGCAAATAAGAATTATGTAAATGGCAAGCATAAAGAAAGCAAAATATGACTTTAAGTCCCGATAGATTTAAAACTACAAATGTCTTACATCCTTATACACAATGATATGTTAGCAAGACATTTATCTGTATAACATTTAACTCAATATATAGAAACTTGATAAAACCATTTACCTGGTGCCATATACCCGATGGTACCCAAAGTTTGGGTATGCAAAATTCTCTGGTCTTCTGTCAAGAGTTTGGAGATTCCGAAATCTGCTACATTGACAACCATATCTTCATCTAGAAGTACGTTGCTCGGTTTCAAATCACAATGAACCACTGGGGAAGGATGCCCATGATGTAGATATACCAATGCAGATGCCAAGTCTATCATTATTTCCAATCTCTGATCAATATTTAGGCAATAGTCAAAAGAGTACAACCAACTACTAAAGTTTCCCTTAGGCATGTAATCCAATACCAGGGCTTTCAAATCGAGGTTAGAACAACTACTTATTACCCTGACAAGATTTCTATGACGAATGTTGCACTCAGTATCAAAGCTCTTGTTTGCGGCTTCCAAGTCCAAATTGAAAACCTCAATAGCAGCAATCATTCCATCAAAAAATGTTCCCTTGTTAACTGAACCAATACTGCCTCTACCAATCAAATTCTCATCGTCAAAGTTATTGGTAGATTTAAGAATATCATAATATGAAATCCTCTTGATGGTGATGAGTGAACTAGACTGAGATGTAAGAGTTGTATTTCTGTTGCAACGTGTCATTAACCAAACCACAATAATGGCAAGAATTATTACCAATACAATTGATGGTAAAACATATTCAAAACTCTAGTCTTGCTTGACGATCTAGTTGTATTAGCTTTGCACTGCATTACCTCAAATTGATATGCTCCGCATAAGTCTCTATTGCCTGTGAAAGAACTTGCTGTTAAGTTCTTCAAAATCCCTTCACTTGGAATTTCACCACTAAGTTCATTAAATGAAACGTTTAAGTACACAACGTTCTGAAGTGTCGCTAGTGACTTTGGGATTACACCAATGAGATCATTTTGAGATAGATCCAGATATTGCAATGCAACCAATTCTGAGAATGACTCCGGTATATACGCATGTAACTCATTGCCAGAAAATATTAGGTTTTCCAAATTCTCAAGTCGTCCAATAGAGTTTGGAATGTCGCTTGAGAATTGATTTCCTGATAAATTTAACACTTGCATCCCCTTCGCGCTACCAATTTCTGAACCCAGAGAACCGTTAAGTTAATTATAAGACAAGTCAACAATTTGGTGATCCCTGTTTGTCCATAAAGCTTATAGTTCGACGGATTTCAATTCGTTGTGAGCTAAATAAATTCTTCGTAATGAACTAATATTTCTAAAGCACCCAGGCAGTTGCTGGGAGAGCTGATTTTTCTCGAAGTTCAGTTCAAACAGATGCCCCAAGTCGCAAAGGGTGGTAGGAATTGACCCCTTTAGTTTATTGCTACTAAGATCCAGCTTTTGCAACTTCTTCAATTTGCCCAGTTCGTTAGGAATTTCTCCGTTCAAGTCATTGCCTCCCATGAATAACTGTATCAAATTGCTAAGGTTACCAATTTCAATGGGAATTGGGCCTTTGATGCCACAAGAACCAGCATCCAATTGCGAAAGAGATGTTGACCAGTTACCCGAGGCCAAGGATTTCGGAAGCCTTCCATCAAAATTATTGTTACCGATCCGTATGGTCCTCAACTTACTACAATTTGTTAATGAAATAATGAAATCCAATTCCAACATTGAATGATCGTTTGTCAGCTGACTATCAGCTATATCTAGAGTATCGAGGATTTGTAGATTCCCTAGAGTGGGTACTCGCCCAGTAAATGAATTAGATTTAAGATCTAGTATTTGGAATCTAGATAAATTTGAAATGGACATGGGAATTTCTCCGCTCAATTTATTGCCATTAAGATAGAGTAGGAACAATTTGGGGAGAACATTGCCTATTGATGACGGAAGATTGCCAGAGATTTTGTTATGTGATAACTCAACCATTGTTAATTTGGAGAGATTGAAGATAGATTCAGGTATTTCTCCCTCAAGTTTGTTTAGGTACAAACTCAATTCTATTAAACTTGATAGTTGTCCCAATTCTCGTGGGATGTGACTGTGAAAACTGTTGTTACCAATACTGAATATCTCCAAATTTGATAAACCTCCAATTGAATATGGAATAGTACCTGCGAAGTTGTGTTGTTGAAGACATTAAAATGAATAAAAAAGCTACTAGGAGGTAATTAATTATTATTATTATTATTATTTTATTTTTTTAATTTAATTTCACCCTTCCTTCCAAACGACACTCGAACTCTAGTAAAGCCACTTGAGTTACGCGTTGATTTCAGAGAGATAACTAGTTACCTATCAAACGATTGCCATCTAAAAACAAAGATTGAAGCATGGATAAGTTTCCAATTTCATATCGAATACCTCCTGTCAAAGAATTTCAAGATATTAAAAAAATTGGAAATGTAAAGTCAAATATTCATAATTTCAAATATTAAAATTAAATAATCATTTTGTGAGGTTAAACAGGTAAGTAAGACATCAAAATAGTAAATTCATATTTTAGTTGTTTATATTTGTTAAAATTACCTAATGTTTTAAAGTCAAATAATAAACTTGTTGAATACCTCTAATGTTTTATTCATCCAATTGAAGATTGTTAGGCATTTTGATGCCAAATAAACCAGGGGCGATATGACTCATTGCATTGAATTAAAATCATATGATTCATTTGGAACTTATTATGGTATTTAAAATAATCAACCCAAAACAAACAACTGGTAACCCACAATAGAATTTGGACTGTATTACATTCAGAGGCCGACCTTCATAGTTGACCTAAGTTGCTTCTACATATGTTAACCCTTTTTTCTGATATGAATTATCATCCCTTTGTGTAAGATATTTCGACTGCTTCTCTTTGTGCACTATTTGCTGCCTTCTTTGTTTGGTCCCTTTGTGAGACCCATTATGTCACCCTTCCCAATCACCTTGGTCGACGATATGGTTATTGGTTCGACTCTTCGTCTGCTCGATTTTCTTTCTATCTATTTTTGCCCTCCTATCACCTCAATGCATTGCTATCTCTGCGTGATTCCTTCGATGGTTTTTTAATGGTTTTGAGTGAAATTCTTGGTTCCTTATGGAGCTGCCTTGTATATTTTTGGGTCATTTATTTGATTCATGTCCAATCCACTTTTGGTGCCAATCTTTGTTAAATTGAAACGAAAGTGTTTATTATTCATTAACAGTTTTGATTCCATTATTATTGATTGATTCGAAACTTACTTTGTGTTGGTTTGATCAATTGAAGATTGTATTTAACTCCCAATCTAGTATCAAAGCCTATTGAAGCTTACTTGTTGCTGATTTTCAATCTTAGTGGTTGAAAATTGGAATTGCTGTGAATTGAAAGTATGTATGGTGTGCAATTGATGATAGATTTGCTGATTTTACATAAGGACTTGAATCCTTAAAATAAGAATTCGCATATCTCATTTTTCGCGGACCATAGATAGGTCCACTTTGGTTAATTGGTCAAACCTCTTTAAATTATTGCAAAAGCAGGTCATCATGAGGGATGATTAATAGGATTGCGACCTTGCCCAATTCTAGTATTTTAGGACTATTTGCTATTGTCATTTTTGTGACTATTGATTGTTGTTTAATTTTCTTATTATTGCTAATTTATTTATGTCTAGAACCGTTACATTTGACCTTATCCGTTCAAAAATTTCCTTGAGACTAAGGTTTGAAGCTCACAAAAATTGTGGTAATATGCTACTGATCTTATTTGTTAAGATATCTGCACGCTACTTTGACTTCGGTATCTTTAACAATAAAAATAATTTTTTTATTTGGCAGCAAAAGATGAAAGTGCTTTTAGTACAACAAAAAGTTTCAAAAATTATTGATAATTGTGATTGAAGATCTAAAAAGTGACTTTGACGAATTTACTTATACCTCTATTATCTTACTCGTATTTGATTCTGTTTTATGAAATGTTGGAAAGCATGATACTATTGAAAAACTTTGGAAAAGTTTTGAAGAGCTTTATTTGACTCAAAGAATGCTCAAAAAACTTTTCTTACTTGAAAGTTTTTTTTTAGCTTTAAAATTGATCCCTCAAAAGATTTAGATGACAATCTCAATGTTTTCAACAAACTGATCCATGGTATTATAAATTGTGGTGAAAATGCTTCTAGCGAATATAAAGAGATTATTCTCTTGAAAGCTATTCCAAATAACTATAAGGAAGTTAAGAATGCAATCAAATATCGACAGGAGACCTTTACATGCAAATTAGTCATCAATTCCTTAAAGGCTAAGAGAGGAAAATGAAAGTTGAAAGAAATGAGAGAAAAGCAGGAGAGATTCACCGACGATCTAGTTCAGGGATGATGAGAGGCAAAACAATTTTGACAAGAAAAATGGAGATGTAGATCTAAGTCATAGGGAGGAAATGTTATGATTATGAGAAATTAGGACATTGTATAAATGAAGAGATCAGAAGGGTGGTGAACCTAGTAGGTCAAACCTTGTTTTCTAAAGAGATAAAACTGGTGAGATTTATATACATTTAGATACTGAACTAACTGAATTTAACCAGTCTATGAACTTTCATATGCATGAGTGATTCTTCAGTTCGGTGCTTCTTTTTATAGTAAAATCAAATAAACTATGGTTTGATCATTTGTATGAGTCTGATCGTGGATATGTAGTTGCATGGGGTGAAGTTGCATATAAGATCACTAGCGTTGATAGTGTGATTGTCAAATTTGATAGTGAGTTTGTGTACACAATAAATGAAGTTAGGTATATTCCATATATGGGTAGAAAACTAATTTATGTAAGAGAGATGGAGTGTACAGGTTTCATTGTTGCACTTGGTGATGGAGTGTAAAAATGTTTAAGATAGCACTTAGAGCCTTTAATGCTATTAGGAATAATAGCATTTTCATCACGCATGCTTGAGTGACGGTGATTTAAATTCCACTATCACTAACACTGATCACACACAAAAGTGACACAATAAGTTAGCTCGCATTAGTGTTAAGAGACTTAAGTTTCTTAACGACAAGGTATGTTTTGTAAGGATTGAGTATTTAACATGCCATTTTGTGATCATTTTGTGCTTGTTAAACATTGTAGGATGTCACTTGCATCTAACATGCAAAAGACATCCAGAGTGCTAGAATACATTCATACTAATTTGTAGGGTCTGGAAAGTAATTCCATTTTTGGTGGTAAAAGATTTTTTTTCCGTCTATTATTGATGATTCTCAAGACGTGTGTGGGTTTATTTGCTGACAGATAAATTTGAAACTTTCATGAATTTAAAAAAATTGGAAAGTTAAGGTGGAGAACGAAACAGGTAAGAAAGAGAGTTATTAGCGTACTAATAATGGTCTCGAGTTTTGTAATGATGAATTTTATAATTTGTATAATAAACCTGACATCATTAGACATAGGACTGTGTCTTACGCCCAGAAAATAGGATTGGTGAAAGGATGAATTGTACTTTGCTTGATGAAGTTTGATATATGATGTTAAATTCTTGTGTGCCTAAGTCTTTTTTGGGTGAAGTTGTTATGGCTGCTTATTATCTAACTAATATGACTCATTCTGTTGCTTTAAATGGTGATATTTCGTACGAGATTTGGTATGGTAAATGTGTTGATTATGTTTGGTTGAACTGCTTTCTCTTATCAAAGTAATGGAAAACTAGAACCTAAAGTGTCTTCTTAGGCTACCCTGAGAGAATTAAGGGACATGTATGGGATAGAAGCTAAAGGGCGTGAGAATAATCATAAATCATGATGTCACATTTAATCAGTTTGAGATGCCTTAAAAAGAGAGTAAGGACGGTAATAAACTGTTTAAAAAGAGTCTCCAGTTCAGGTGGAGCGAGTGAATATCCACATCCCCATTACCTCAAACGAAGTAGAGAGTAATACATAAAATCAACAGAACACAAAGTTAAAAGGTGATTAGAAAATTGTTGAGGACAACCCTATCGATCAAAACTCTAGCTGACTACAATCAGTTAGAGATAGAGAGAGGGACCACATAGGAAACCCTAGAGGATGTTTGACAAACCATAACCTATAATAGTTTTCAAGAACTAGTTGATAAGGATCCAAATACCTATGAAGAGGCTATGATGAGTGAAAAAAAGTGAGGAGTGGCTAGGTGTCATGAGAGAAGAGATTAGTTCTCTTACCAAGAATCGAACTTGGGATTTAGCTCCTAGACCTAATGATAAATCCATAGAAGGAGGGGAACCACTGAGAGTGAGCCCATGAGATATAAGGCTAGATTAGTTGTCAAAGTAAACACGCAAAAGGAATGAGTCGATTATAATGAGATTTTTTAAGAATACCACTATTAGGGTCATGCTTGCTTTTATTGCTTACTATGATTGAAAGTTTGAACAACTTGATGCCAAAATTACTTTTTTGCATGGTGACCTAGATGAAAAGATTTTTATGAATCAACCCAAATGTTTTGAATGTACATCTAAACTTGACCATGTGTCAGTCTTCAAGTCAATGGTACAAAAAGTTTGATTCTTATGTATTGTCTGCTGATTTCAAGAGAAGTAAATTTGACCATTGCTTATATTACCTGCATTACAGCACCAATAGAGAGTATGTATTTGTTACTTTATGTGGACAACGTGTTATTAATTGGACCTAACATGAAGGTGGTAAACAAGATTAAAACAAAGTCAGAAAGAATTTGACATGAAAGACCTAGGACATGCTAGGAGGATTCTTGGTATGGAGATTAATCGGGATAGGTCTAATTCTTGCTTATTTGTTCATCAAACTCATTACGTGCTTAAAGTTTTAAAAAAATTTGACATGCTTGATTGCAAACCTGCTTTTGTGCCTCTAGAAAACCATTTCATTTTGTCAAAGGAATAATCACCTGCTAATGATGTAGTAATTTATGAATAATATTCCTAATTCAAATATCATTAACTTTTGGTTTGTATTGGATTTGATTTGGCTTTCACTATGAGTCCTTGGTATTTTCAAATTACCAACTAGAGGAAGGCAAGGCAGCAGTTCACCAACCCCACTTGTTAAGTAGGTACATGTCTAATCCTAGTCTCAAACATTGGGAAGCATTAAAGTAGTTGCTTAAGTACTTGAAGGGTGTTTTTTATGCGATATTAGTTTATAAATATATTATTGAGGGTGTGAAACGTAAAAGTTTCACAAATGTTTATTACATTGGTGATACAAATAATATGAAATCTATTTCCTCTTATGTGTCTACTTTGTGTGATTCTTGTGTGTGTTGAAGGTCTCAACTTCAACATATAGTTGCTTTACTTACACTGAATTTGCGTATATTGCTATCATAGATGCTATTAAAAAAGCTTTATGGTTTAGAAGTTCACTTAATACTGGGTGTTCTGAGTGATAATGTGAAATTATACTCTGATAGTCAATCTGTTATTTATTGATGTAAGAATCCTGTATTTCATGAATGCACTAAATCTATAAATGTTATGCTGCATTTTATTAGAGATGTAATGTCTCAAGTTTTATCGCATTCAGATTATAACCCTGTAGATATGGGCGTCAAGGCACTTTCCATGGTAAAGTTTAGAAGCTAACTTATACTTCGAAACATTAGTAGAGGTATGTGATCTTTCAATTCTATTTGAAATCACGTTGTGGGACTATTAAACTAGTTTTTATCTTTTGCATGTATATTTGGCATTAAGGTGGAGGTTTGTTATGTGTTTTGATACCAAATAATTTCGGGACAATGAAAACTTATTAGATCAAATTAAAATCATATAGCTCATTTTGAACCTATTATTGAGACTGTTTAAAATTGTCGCCCCAAAACACACAACTGGTAACTCACAAAGGAAGTTGGACCAAGTATTACATTTAGGGCCCGACCTACTTAGTTGACCTAATATGTTGGTCCCTTTTTGTGATATGAA